AACCCCACGAGCAGGGTCCGCGCTCACTCTGACGCCGCGCGGGCCTTGCGTGTGAGCCCCATGCGGCGACTGGCGGAGCCCACGTGGGGGTGGAACGAGGGGGCGGCTTACGACAAGACGGAGGGGGGTCGTACAGGCAGGGGCCTCAGGGGGCCTCCTCTGCAGGCCAGAGAGGCTTCCCAGGCGGGCCTCTCGGAAGCCCCGCCGCCCTCTCGGAAGCCCACCCCCCTCGCGACCACCCCCCGGTGCGCGCCGCCGAGACGAGGCGGGCGTTGGATTCGGACTTGTCGTCGCCCGCCCGCCCCTCGAGGGAAGGGGCCCCTGGCGCGAGTGGTGCCCCGCGAGGTTCCTCCCTCGGGTCAGGCGAGGGGGGGGGCCTTCCAAGACGGAGTCAGGAGAAGGGACAGAATCCGAGGGAGGTAGTCGGCGGTGGACAAACCTTCCTTTAGAAAACCACCCTTCAGTGAAGACGGCCCATGACCGAAGCCGACGGGCCTGGACCTGCAAAAATGACGGCCGCGACGCCCTCTCGCAAACCGAAAACGGCAAATTCGCTAATCGACGTGTCTGGGTAGGAGGTCTACCAACCGCCGAAAAATCGGGGATCTCCGAGATCATGGCGGTTCTGACGGGTGCACCCGGTGCCGCGGCCGATCCAGCGCGCTCCGGAACGCTCTGAGAGCGCTCCTGGTCCTGCCTCCGCCCGACCTTCCCTGCCAGGACAAGTCGACTTTGAATCGGGACATCGGATCGAATTGGAATCCGCATGGGATCGGGCCGCGTCGACACGGATTCGAAATCGAGACGGATTGGCTGCGCCAGGGTGGACAACGGCGTCACACAAGCATCGGGCCGCGTCAGATCGTCATGATATCGGTATCGAATCGGACCCGGCCAGCCGGAACCAATATTCGGATCGGATCGGTCGGAGCGAGCGAAATGGGCCCCGCCTTCCGTTCGAAGCGGGGCGGATCCGATACAGTAGGATGGATCGGCTCTGAAGTCGTGTCCCAGGCCCACGTCGTCGCCTGCGGGCGGCAGCACAGCCGAGCCAAGAGCGGGCTACGGAACCAGAACCTTTACGCCTCCTCGGATTCTCCCTGAAGGATCCGCAGAAGCACGGCGCCCCGAGGGGGGTCCCAGGGTGGCAAAGACTGTCCAAGAGCGGCTCCGAGATCGACCTAGCAAGCGTCAAGGGGGCCCCAAAAGAATGAACAAATCCGACAGCTCATCAAATCCGCGAATCCCTCCTCGGAAGGCGGCGGCAACTAAAGGCGGAGCCCGACGGGTAATTATCCACGCAACTCTGCGTGGGTGTACATCAGCGGCAGCACAAGCGCTAGAAAACCAGCGTGCGCGCCTCTGACTGAATGCCAGGGCCGGAGTTCGCGCTGCCATTCCGGTACCTAAAAACTTACAACTAAGTAGCTCTAGGCCGACAGCGCAATACATTCGCTGCCGACAAGGCTCTGAATCCAAAAACGTATACCCCTTCTCCCAACCGCTCTTCCTAGTCGGAGCGCTGCTCGATCCTCGCGCGTGTTGGCACCTGGCCTCTTCCTGTACTCTGGATAGGACAATAATCGCCCCCCCCCCCCTTGAATCCGCTGGGGGGGTTGGGCACGTGCTGTCAGCAAGGGTGGAGGGTGAATTGGGGGAAGAGGAGGAGGATGAGGGGGAGGAGGATGGAAGGGGGCGGGATTGGGCAGGCTCAGTCAGAAGATGAATCACCCACACCTTGATTCTTTATATGGGCAAACACGTCCAGAGTACTACACTTTGACCCTTGGGGCGGACAGATGAAACTAACCACCTGGATGTGCCAAATGCATGCGGCAAATTCACGTCGCGATGACGCAGGGCGCTGGTCTCTAACACCGTGCGGACCCTTCAGCCTGGAACGATCGCGCCTCTCCGACAGCGCCGAACTGTTCGATATCGGCAGATTTCAGACCACTGGCAGGCCTGAGCCAGATCGAATCGCGAAATCGGCGACGAACGGACAACACACACCCATACCCATAGGAAGGTCGGAGGGAGGAGGACCGTCTATGGGTATGGGTGCGGGCTGTCGGATCCTGGAGGAGGCTCCCGTTCGGACGGGGATCCCCATCCGACAACACGCACCCATAGCCCCATCCGTCCCCCGTATGGGTATGGGTGCATGTTGTTCGTTCGTCAAAAACTGGATCGGAACGGAAACGGATCGGATCGCCCGCAGTACCGCCCCCAACCGAACCGAAGCCGCCCCGCCGCGCGCCTGGCTCCAGCAGGCCCGGGCCGATATGCCAGCGAACCGAGCCCGAGCCGAATCGGATCGGAAGCGCAGACCAGCCCGCGAATCAAATCGGATCGTAGGCTGCCCTGGCTTGGCCAGACCAAAAGGTATCGTACAGCCAGCCTGTATAGCGAGGACACACAATAAGGATGCAGGGCCTTGAAGGCCATGCCGACATTCTGTGGGCGGGGCGCGGCCGAAGACAGCGGCCGAGGATGGGCCGAAGGGGAAGGACGCAAGGGCAACCTTGAAAAATTGCTCACGCTTACTATGCGGGTGGACTGTAAACTGCACCGGCTTAGGGAAACCAAAGGGTGCCGATGCCGCTGCTCCCCAGACCTCTCCTGGGGTGCGCTCTAGCCAGACTGTTGATGGGCGAATCCAATGGTGGCGACGAGGGGCTCCTGTCCACAAAGGCGACAACAAGGGAAGGGCAGTGGTATGGGCACCTGTTCCTCCTCATCTGATGGCTGGCGGCACCCGACCCTGAGCGCCCGCGCTGAGACCGCCGCAGCGTCGGCGATGGGCGCGGGCCCGCCCGAGGCGAGGGCAGATGGGCACGAGCAGGCTGGGCGGCGGAGAGCTCGGGGCCCGAGTGGGTTGGGATGCCAGGGTGGGGGAGTAGGAGGAGGAGGAGGAAAGGGAGGAGGAGGAAGAGGAGGAACAGGAGGAGGAGGAGCAGGAGGAGGCATTCATCTACCCCTCCTCCCTCATCCCTCTCCCTCCTCGTCGACCTCCTGTCGCTGCCGCTGACGGCATCGAAGTCCAAAATCGGACGCTGCCATCCGTCATCGTCGTCCTCCTCCTGCTCGTGCTCCTGCTCCTGCTCCTGCTCCTTCTCCTGTTCCTGCTCCTGCTCCTGCTCTTCCTTCTCTTTCGCGCCCCTCCTCACCGTCGGCGCCCTTCCACAGAGAGTGCCCCCGCGCGTTCCGAGAGGGCATGTGAAGCCGAGTTTTGTCGTCGAGTCCCGACGCTGCCTCTGAGGGGGGCAGGCACGGAACGGCGGCGAACGCTCGTGCTCTCGAGACTGGCCCGATACCCCCTCACGCGCGCCTTGCCCCCCCCCCCCCCCCCCCCCCCTCCCCTCCTTACCCTCCTCTCAGGCAAAGCGCGGGTGCGCGCCGGCTCCCCCTCCTCCTCTCTCCTCCTCTCCCTCCCTCCCTCCTCCTCATCATCCTCCTGCTCCTCCTCCTCCTCCTCCTCTTCTTCCTCCTCCTCCTCTTCCTCCTCCTCCTCCTCCTCCTCTTCCTCCCACTCGTCGTCGACGTCCGTCGTCATCCCAACCACCAACTCCATCATCATCAGGATCATCAGCATAACCATCAGATTAGTATTATTCATCATTAGCGTCATCAGCATCATCTTCATCATCAGCATCGTCATCCCCATCATCATCGTCATCGTCATCGTCATCAGCAGCAGCAACATAAGCAGCAGCAGCAACATCGCCGTCACCATCATGACCATCATCACCACCACCATCATCAGCATCAGCATCAGCATCAGCATCATCATCATCATCACCATTACCATCACCGTCATGCCATCTCACTCACCATCATCACCAGCAGCATCATCAGCACCATCCTTACCATCATCATCCTCAGCATCAACAGCTGCAGCACTGTCATCATTTTTTGGAGCTCAACAGCTCGCCTCCACCAAATGCAGGACGTCTGGCGGCGGTGGGAGACACCAGCTTGCAGTATTATCATCATACTCATCCTCATCAACAGCATGGACATCATCAGCAGCAGCAGCCTCATCATCATGCCATCATCACCATCATCACCATCATCATCATCAGCATCAGCATCAGCATCCGCATCATTATCCTCATAATCATCATCATCAGCATCAGCATCATCAGCATCAGCACCATCATCACCATCATCTCGTCATCATCACCTTCAGAATCATCAGCATCATCATGATCATCATCATCAGCAGCAGCACCATCATCATCGTCAGCATCATCATCATCAGTACCATCATCATAATCGTCATCGTCATCGTCCTCACCATCATCATCACCATCACCCTTACCATCACTACCGCCATCGTCATCGCCATCGCCATCGCCATCGGCATCGGCATCGGTATCGTCGTCATCATCAGCATCAGCAGCTGCAGAAGTATCAGCAGCATCATCATCAACAATTTCATCATTGTCATGGTCATATTGACCGTCAACGTCATCGCACTGATCACCATCATCATCACCGTCATCATCATCATCATCATCATCACCATCACCATCACCATCACCATCACCATGACCATCAGTATCATCACCTTCATCACAATCAGCACCATCATTATCATTATCATCATCATCATCGTCATCATCATCATCAGCATCATCTTCATCCTCATCCTCATCCTCATCAGCAGCATCATCACCATCATCCATAATCACCATCATCATCATCATCACCATCACCATCATCATCAGCATTGTCGAGCCGAGGCGACTCGAGCGAAGTTCTGAGTCAACCTCTCCTTCCTCTCTTGCTGCCGCTTCCGCGGCCATGTGGGATCGAGGAGGGGGCCCCCTCTTTTGTGCAGAGCGCGCGGCAGACACGCTCGCCGGCACGGGCCGGCGCTTGATGCTCGACGGACGAGCCCAGCAAAAACACATCGTCGACGTTAAACACGACATTGGTACTGCGGAGCTAGATCCACGGACGAGTTCTGGCACTCCTGAAGGGACCAGAACATCATGGAGCGGGACGACAAGAAAGCCAAGGATGCCATCCCAGAATGGGACGGCAACCCCGGGCGTTGGCGTCACTTCGAGACGGCTGTGAAGTGGTTCCCTCGCACGCTGAAGCGGCAGGAGAGGGACCTGGCGGCGAACCGGATCATCGGGCGCATGCTGCAGAGCAAGACGATAGCGATCAGGACGTTTGCGACCACCCTGGATCCGGACCGATATGAGAATCCGAATGGCCACCTCCTCCTCTTGGACGACCTGAGGAGCAGCCCGCTGGGGAAGCTTCCGATCCCGGACGCGGCCCACAAGATCAAGCATTACTACAAGGACTTCAAGCGGCCCAAGGGCGAGACGGTGGGCGCGCTCTTGATCCGGGAGCAGGACTGCTACTCGGAGATGGTCCAGGCGCTGGAGCGCCTCCTCGAGGAGATGGGCGACAATGACAAGTACAAGCAGTGCCAGGAGTGCTTCGGCTACTTCGAGCGAGACCGAGGCGCAGCTGGACGTGGACAATGGTACTGCCAGAGGTGCTGGGACACCTGGGACGGCAACCCCGACACCCCGGCGACGGCAGCAGATGCCGCCCCTGCCGAGGAAGCAGAAGAAGCATATGAATATGAACGACACTCTACGACGTCTCGCTCGCAGGGCTCTCGAACAGATCGTTTTCACCGACAAGAATCCATGGCAAGCAAGCTCAAGGTTTCGGAGGCGATGGCAGTGGGCTCTACTTTCTTCGGCCACGCTTCCGGAGTCCTGAAGGTCCTCCGCGGCTTCTTCCTGCTCGAGGCGATGGACTTCACCGAGAAGGAGAAGCAGGACGTCCGCGTGGTCACGCAGAACCGCTTGGACTTCGACGCGATCTCCAAGGCCTTGAAGGAGCGCTGGGAGGACAAGGCGCTGGTGCAGCGGGACTTCGGACCGAGGGCTATGCCTCGGTACGGCCCGGAGTCGGGCCAGCAGTCGGCCCTCGCCGCCGAGTTTGATGATGTACACGGGCCTGATTGGTACGATGGCTACGCGGCGGCGGTCCATGCGTGGGAGAACGAAGGGTACGACCACCACGAGGACGAGGACGACTACGATATCGAGGAGGAGCCGCAGCTAGCCTCAGAGCCGGAAGGGTCCGAGGCCGTGGATGAGGATCTCAACCACCTCAACGAGGAGCTCGAGGCGGCCCAGGCGATGGCGGCAGAGGCGTCACGCACTCTAGTTCAAGCCAGACAAGCAGTGGCCGCCGCCCATAAGGATCGAGGATTTGGCAAGCCACCGAGTTCTGGAACGGGATCGTCGGCATTGGGTCCAGGAGGGAAGAGCCGCCTTCCTCCGTCGTGGCCGCACCAGCAGCCCTCGAGACCGCCGTTTGCGGGTCGAGGCCCGAAGGGCGGCAAGGGCGGCAAGGGCGACAAGTACCGCGACAGGGACCGCGACCAGAAGGGCAAGAATGCGAACTACCTGGAGTTTCACACGATCACGCACGGGTTCGACGAGCTCCAGGGTATGTACCAGGCAGAGCAGAACGACAGCGGCCTCGCCCCTTCTAAGGCCATGGTTGATTGCGGGGCTTCCGCGTCCGCCGGAGGCGAGCGCGCAGTCCAGGCTCTAGTTGCCGCCGTTGCGGCCGCGAACCCCCAGGCCAGGATCGAGATCAACCAAAATGAAAGACCGTGGTTTCGTTTCGGAGACAATAAGTGGGGCAAGGCACTGTATAAGGTTTCGGTCGAGTTCGAGCCGGGCTTCGTTTTGGGCATCTTCGCTCTCAGTCCTGGTGTGCCTCTCGTTTTGTTGGGAATGACTGCTCTGGAGTCGTGGCCGGCAATCGTGAATTTCCGAACCGGGGAGGCTGTGATTAGGGGCCGACTGGTGCAGCTTCGCAAGACCCCAGTCAAGGGCCATTGCATCCTCGATCTGGTGAAGCACGTTTCCGAGATCTTAAACCCGACCGAGCAAAACACGGAGGGTCTTGCAAAGGCGTTTCAGAGATGGTCTATGGCGACGACAACATCCCAACCATCAGCATCATCTCAGACAAGAACGACACCATCATCAGTACATGCAGCTATGACGACAACATCGCCAGTGATAACAGCAACATCACCACCATCAACAATAACCGGAAGAGCAGCTCCATCATGGTCATCTCCTCCTCCGCCGTCTTTTGGCTCTAGAACTCGCTCAGAGCGACTTTCGACAATCCGCAAGCCGGCGTTTCAGCCAGCACGCTTTCATGGAGGGCAAGGACGAATGGCAGACAGTCGACACAGATGCCAACATGAAGGAGGAGGGCACGGAGGTCAAGTCACCTTCGGCGGCAGCGAGCTCCGGACCTACGACCCAGGTCAAGCGGGAGTTCGTCTTCAACGGCCAGAAGATGGAGTACGTCACCTCGGAGGGCAAGGTCAAGGAGGGAGATCCGGGCAGCACGCACCAGGGCCGCAAGAAGGAGAAGCAGATGGAGCTGGACCCGGCGTTCGCGCTGCAGGTGGACCCCCGCGACCCGAGGACCACACGGGGACCGTGCGGCAAGATGCATCGCAAGTACTTCACGGTCAACAACCAGTGGGGCCAGACCAGGACATGCTATCGGTGCGGGCTGAGGCTGCTCTACATCCCGACGACGAATGCGCCGATGACGAACCTCAGCATGCAGCATCCGAAGTTGGTGGAGTCCGGCCTGGAGTTGGTGCGGCACTGCAACCTGTGGGAGACGGCCAACCACGAGCAGGTGACCGCAATGATCAACATCGCCACCTCCCTCCGGAGGCCCTGGGACCGAGATCCGCCACGCGCCGGACGCGCTGCTGGAGATGCTGGGGGCAGCGAACCCCAGGCGCAAGGCCCAGGTGGCGGAACCAGTACCCGGGCAGGTCTGAGCCGGGTGCCGAGGCAGCTTCTGGCTGCCGGACGCCGGAGGTCGCTACTCGCAGGACTGGCCTTGGCCATGACCGTGGGCACGATCACCGAGGCGGTGGAGATCTGCTGCCATCCCAACAGCATGCTGACCGACGAGTGCACCAATATCGGCCTCAGCATGGAGAGGATCAGCATCGAGAACGGTTACAACCTCAGCACGAAGGCGGGGTTCGAGGCTGCTGGCAAGAAGCTGGACGAGGTGATGCCGAAGCGGGCTTGGATATCGCTACCATGCACGCTATGGACTTCGCTCACGAACTTCAACTACCAGACCCCAGAGGCACGTGCACGCCTAGAGAAATACCGACTTCGAGACCGACGACGTGTGAAGTATGGAGTTCTCCTGTTGCTAAAGATTGTTGACGACGGAGGCGAGATCTACTTCGAGTGGCCCCACAGGTGCCAAGGCTGGAAGATTCCCGAGCTCAAATTTCTCCGTATGGAGTTGAGGCGTCGGGGCCGACACGTCTTCGAGGATCGGATCGACGGGTGCATGTACGGCCTCAGGGACTACAACACCAACGAGCTCGTCGAGAAGGGCTGGAGGATCCTGACCACCGACCCGGAGTTCTCCAAGGTCGCGACCGTGTGTGACCATTCACACGGTCACCGAGTCATCAACGGGAAGCAGCACACCGCAGCCACCGCCTACTACCCGCAGGCGATGTGCAAGGCGATCGCCCGGCTGTGGCATGCTCAACTCCGGAAACCGATCGACCTCAACATGGCCCTGGAGAACCCTGCTGTCCTGGACCTCGAGAATGCCTACCTGATGGAGCGGGACACCGGGAGCATCTACGTCGCTGAGCCCACGGATCTCGAGAGGGAGCAGGTGCGCGCGATTTTGAGCAGGATCCACAAGGCTGCAGGCCACCCAGGGAACGAGCACTTGGCGTACTGGTGCAAGAAGCGGCAGTGCCCACGCTGGATCATCGAAGAAGCGATCTACCTTCGCTGCGAGGCGTGCGACCTGGTCAAGCACGGCCTCTCCCACAAGGTCAAGGCGAGCCTCGATATCCCCATGGCACCTTGGCAGGCAGCCGTCATGGACGTTTCTGACCTGACGTTCCCGGACTTGAATGTGAAGGCCCGGTTTCTCCTCATCGCAGAGGTCGCCACCGGCCTGATGGGCGGGGACATCACTGCGAAGATCGGCCTCAAGGACAAGGGCACCGATTCGTCAGCTACGCTGTTCACGACGTTTGCCAGAGCCTACCTTCAACATTATCCAAAGCCAAGGTGGGTTTTCGTCGATCCTCAGACCTCTTTTGTGGGCGGCGAGTTTAAAGACAACTGCCAGTTGGCCGGCATCGGCGTCTCAGCGAAACCAGGAGGAGCACATTGGATGGCTGGCGACATCGAGCGCCGCATCTCGATCGTCAAGCAGGTGATGAGGAAGCTTCGCCTACAATATCCCAAACTGAGTCCCGAGACCGTGTTTTACATCTCGATTGCGGCGGCCAACAACATGGACAACATCAAGGGCTACACGCCGATGCAGTGGGCTTTCGGGTTTTCTCCGACCGAGGACCCTATCTTGGCGCACAACGCAGCTACCGGCAAGTTGAAGTCCGACTTCTTCGAGATCGAGCGGGCGCGAGCGGACGCGGAGGCCACCTACCTGAAGGAGAAGGCTTCCAGGAAGATCTCAGAGCTTAAGAACTCAGCCCCACGACCTCGACATGAATATAAACGAGGCGACTGGGTCTGTGTCTGGCGGTCGCATGCCGCGACAGGAAAACGAAAGCTCTCAGGGCAGGACTTCTTCACGGACGGCTTGTTCATCGGACCGGGTCGGGTCTTGTTCTCCGAGCCGGCGGTTCAGACCGGCAACAAGGACGGCGTGATCTGGGTCATCATGGGCAACCGATGCTGGCGCTGCGCAGCTGAGCAGCTGCGGCCAGCCACGCAGTCGGAGATCGTCCAGATCAACCTGAAGAAGGACGACATCCTCAACAGTCCGCTCGAGGACGTCTGGAGGCACCTCCAGGACTTTGACGACATAGCCGGGGAGCCCTACCCAACGGCAGATGGCATGAGGATGCTGCCGCGGCAACCTCTTGAAAGCATGCCGAGGGTGATCGAGAACCCCGATGTGGCCGTGGAACCCCACGACGTCACGGAGGCAGAGGGCGACCAGGAGGTAGACGAGGACAACTCAGCACCAGAGCCACCACAGATCAAGCGAACAAGAGTGAGAGGCAAGACGCCGACTGCGTCGTGGCCACCTGTTCCGACCGAGGCTTTCCAACCGCGTTTTGGGAGATCATCTTCATCAAGAGCCTCAGCTGAAGTTGCTCACGCTGCCCTCTTCCAGGCGGCGAGCGACCACGCGGAAGCCAGCGATATCGACATTATCAACTTCGTGCAGGATCCGAATAACGAGTCCGAGATGGACCTGATGAAGATCGAGATCGAGGCCGACCTTGAGGAGTTCTGCTTCGATGCGAGCGCTTACTTGGAGAAGCAGCTGAACCGCGTGGCCAACAACACGGTCAAGAAGGGCGTGGAGGTTTCGTTCGGCCGCCTGAGCCCCGAAGACAAGCCACTGTTCCAAGAGGCAATGGCACGGGGGCTGGCGGAACATCTGGAAGTACCGACAGTCCGGGCTGCATCTGATTACGCTGACTACAATCATGGAAAAGATATTCCAGCGGACAAGCTGATCAAGATGAGGTGGCTACTGACCTGGAAGCCTCTGACGCCACCTGAACCGCCGGACAAGTCGGACCCACACCCCGTGAGCACGCCGGACGGGAAGTTCAAGGCGAAGGCCCGTATCATTATGTTGGGCTTTTCACATCCAGACCTTGTCAGTCGAGACAAGTTCGGAGATCGGGTGCTTCCTACGGCGTCGCCAACAATTTCAAGAAAAGGGAAGCTGGCACTCCTCCAGATGGCTGCTTTTCACGGCTGGACCTCCGAGCTAGCCGACGCGAAGTCTGCCTTCCTGCAGGCCGGGCACACTGAGGAGTGGAGGAAGCTCTACACCAAGGGCGTGAAGGAGCTTCGGCAGGCCTTGCAGATCAGCGAGGAGGAGTCCATGCGAGTCCTGGCGGCGATCTACGGGATCACGAATGCGCCGTGGGTCTTCTGGAAGTATGTGGACCACAAGATCCACAAGGCAGGAGGCAAGAGCGTCCTCATCGAGCCGTGCATCTGGATCATTCAGGATCAGGACGGCACCGTGTGCGGGGTCATCGGCTCGCACGTGGACGACTTCGGCATCGCGGGCGACAGCGACAACAAGTTCTACCTCGACATGAAGAACCTGCTGAAGGAGATGCTGCGGTGGTCTCCATGGCGAAGCACGCCGTGCATGTGGGCAGGCACGTGGATCACACAGGAGCCGTCGGGTAAGATCCATGCCAGCCAGGAGGAGTTCTGTCACCAGCTCCTCGAGATCAGGGTCGAGTCCGGCAAGTATCGCTCGAAGGATGACAAGCTCAAGCCGGAGGACGTCACCCAGTTCAGGGCGGGCCTGATGAAATGCCAGTGGAGAACGACGCAGACAGCACCGCAGTTCTCGTGCCGGGTGCCACTGTTGGCTCAGCGGGTGAACGAGGCGACGTTCGGGGACCTGAAGGACACGAACGCCCTCATACGAGATGTGAAGCGGACCGCTCGTGACTCATTGGTGTTCCACAACTTCAACAGCAACTGCGGCGGTAAGCTGAAGTGGGACGACCTAGTGATTGCGACGTGGGTCGGCGCAAGCAGGCTACTCCAACGAGGCGGCTACATCGTGGGTTTCACGACGGCCGAGATTCTCAAGCAGAAGGAATGTGCAGTCTCTATCGCCGACTGGAGATCGTACAAGCTCAAGCGCACCGGCATCGGCACCAACGGCTGCGAGGGCCAGGCTGTGTACGACGGAGAGAACGCCGCGTACTTGATGCGCTTGCTGTGGTCAGTCATGCACGGAGTTCCAGTTACCGCGCACACCCAGGAGGAAGTGGCGCAATCCATGACCTCAGTGCTGGTGATCGACAGTCGTGGAGTTCACGACTCGGTTCGCAACAAGGAGAGCTTCGGCATAGGCCTGAGCGACGCGAGGACCGGCGTGGAGGTATTGCACGTGAAGGCGAACTGCGGGCCCGAGAAGAATCAGCACCTGGTCTGGGTGCCCTCGGACCTCAACCTCACCGACGGCCTCACGAAGGACAGTCCTGAGGCTAGGAAGCCTCTGGCGATGTGGCTTGCGCGGCGCACCTGGATCATCAGGTACGACGAGGATTTCATGTCAGCCAGGAAACGACAACGAGCTAACAAACTCGCTCAGGACAAGCCGCAGCCGACTACTGACGCTGAAGCCGAGGCCGCCGACGCTTTAGCTTTTCTCGACCTATCTTGAGGGTAGTGTCGGGCTCATTCCATAACCCTTTTCCACACTTGTACTGTGCAGGGCCCTCCTTTGATCCAGTTCGGTCGGAACGGTTGAGAAGGATTTTAGGCTCATGTCGAGCCGAGGCGACTCGAGCGAAGTTCTGAGTCAACCTCTCCTTCCTCTCTTGCTGCCGCTTCCGCGGCCATTTGGGATCGAGGAGGGGGCCCCCTCTTTTGTGCAGAGCGCGCGGCAGACACGCTCGCCGGCACGGGCCGGCGCTTGATGCTCGACGGACGAGCCCAGCAAAAACACATCGTCGACGTTAAACACGACAATCATCATCATCATCATCATCATCATCATCATCATCATCATCATCATCATCATCATCAACATCATCATCCCTCCTCGTCCAAACCCACTCCCACTCATAGGAAACGAGAAGATACCGACACGGGTATTGTACTCCCCAGGCATTTCCCAGGGTGCGTTCCGATCAGAAGTCCGATGCGAATCTACTATGGCGACGGGGGCCTCCCAGGACGCCCAAACAAAGACAAAAACAGGCAAGGGTCGCGGTAACGAAACCGTGTATTCCTCTGACCCTCCTCCTCCTCCTCCTCCTGCTCCTCTTCCTACTCTCCTTCTCCCTCCCTCTGATGGGCCTGTTTTCCACCACCACCACCATAAGTTGGAGGGGGGGAGGATGTGGAGGACGAGGAGGAGGAGGAGGAGGAGGAGGAGGAGGAGGAGGAGGAGGAGGAGGAGGAGGACGACCCCCTCCCCCTCCAACGTGTGGTGGGGGTGGAAAACAGGCCCACCATCCCTCTCCCCCTCCTCTCCCTCCCTGCTAGGCCGTCCCCGCGGACGCCTGCCGACACGCCCGCCGCCAAGGGAGAGCAGGGCGGGCGCCGGCCAGTTTGTACACGCAGTGCTTCGTGCAGCCCCGGCGTGGCGGGCGCCCGGAACCCCTCCCGGCCGCCTCCGTGCAGCGGGAGGGCGGGCCCAGGCCAGGGACGATCAGAGAGCGATTGAGAGGGCGAGAGGGAAAGACGGAGGGAAAGAGGGAGAGAGAGAGAGAGAGAGGGAGAGGCGGGACATTCTGGGCGGAGTTCCGTCCACATGCCCGCGGGCAAGCACGCCGCACCCGAAGCACGTTGGCCGGTGCTGTCGGCTCAAGATGGGCCCTGCACACCCGTCTTGGGCGGACGGTCAGGGGAGAAAAGAGAAGGAGGGGCGAGGGGGACCCTCCACGAGCGAGCAGAAGGTCCTGCAGGCAGTAGTCCGAGCCCACCAGGATGTGTTAAGCGAAGCCTGCACCCGTCCTTGGCGTGACGGTACCTCGCTGAAAGTGGCGGCATCCATCCAGCACCTCTTCAGGAGCCGCCGTGGGGAAGGCCATCGGACGCTTGCCACGCGGCGCACAGGTCACGAATGGGGGGAGGTTAGCTGGGACTTCGCACGAGACGCGCTTGGGCCGCGTGAAGGGCGGCTGCGACGGAGGCGGAGGCGCTCGTCACCGAAGGGGCGAACGAGACCTCACGCTGGACCGTGGCGTGGAATCCACGCAGCGTGTTAAGGTGTTGTCGCGTCGTGCGGCGGACGTGGTCGGAAAGGGCCTGAACGTGCTCGAGCTGGCGCTCGAGCTGGGTCAGTCGGTCCGCCGCAGGCTGAGCCTGAGCCTGCATGATGTGTTCCTGCGACGAGAGGAGGGCTAGCACAACCGTTTGGGCGGCGTGCCAAGTCCTGCGCACGACGGGCGTGATTACCCACCGCTCGGCCTGAGTCCGAAGGGGAGGGGGGGGGCTGGAAAGTGCGGGGCGCGCCTGAGGCGGCCAAGGTCCTCATGGCGAAGGAGGACCATAGAGCGAGGCAGGCCAGAGTCCACCACGGCGGGCACGCTGGAGGTGCCGCGCCACTGGCGGGAGGAGGATCAACGCCACCATATTCGGCCAAATGTTGGAAGAAATGGTCGGCGTCAGTGGCCGGCAGCCAGACGTCCGCGTCCAGACTCCACAAGCAGTGTCCGCGCGGGAGGGTGACGCGCGGTGGCGGCAGTTAGGGCAGGAGAGCCCATAATCGAATCGCTAAGTCGGATCGGCGATCGAAATGAATCGGATCGGCGGATATCGGCAGCCGAGTCGGGAAAATTCGAAACGGCGGAAATCGGCAGACTAGTATGCGTCCAAAAAGAAATCAGAACCCAATTCGGAATCCCAAGTCGAATCGAATCGGAATCGGAAGCCATCGAAATCGAAACAAATCTAATCGGAAGAGTCGAAATGAGCCCTGTAAGGGGCTGTGTAGCGTGACCACTTCACTCCAGCTGCCTGGTCGGGGGCCCCCGGATGCCGCGCTTGGATGCGGACCTTGGGGCACCGCGCTGCGAGCTGGTCCAGACGGCGGAACTGCGCGATGAGCCGCAGGGGCAGAAGTGGCCGCGTCTCCCAAGGCTGAGCCTGGGGAGTCACGCGGCAGATTCGAGGCCCAGCGGCTGGTGGCCGCAGTGGACTTAGCCAGGGGGGTGCGGCCCCGGGGTCAACAGAGGGTCGTCGCCTGGGGGTTTAACCGCGGCAGTGCCAGGTAGTGGGTCTGGGGGTGACCCAGGCTGGATTGGTCAGAGTCATTTGGCCTGTCGTCACTGGCAAGGGATCGGCGCGCCTGAACCAGCGATGTCCGTCGAAAGAGAACATGGCCGTGCGTTCGCCCCGCTGTTGCGGAGCGGGGCCACGCGAAGGCGCCGCTCCCGGGCGTGGCGCGGCGCGCTCTGTCGGGGAAAACGGGGCCGCGGGCTGTTGAACAACCCCAGCGGGTTGAAGGCGCCCTTAGCAGCCTGGCGGGGGGTCGAGACGGTCCAGGTAAGCGCCCATAGCGTCGCGGCGCGAGTCGCTCATCTGCTGGGTAGCACGATGTAGGGCGACGCGTCGGCGACGGTCGCGGCGCCCTCGGCCGCCTCGAGCCCAAGCGTCTTCGCAGATCCCTTGCGCGCGGCGCCACTGGAGGTCGAGCGCAGCTGCGAGTCCTCGCAGAACGCCACGAAGGCCGCCGCTTGGAAAGCGCGGAGGACCACCTCGACGCAGCACATGAGCCAAATTTGCTTGCCTCTGTCAGTGTCGCAGAGGTCTGGGAGCCACCAGGGGGACGATGCAGGCGACGTGGTCGACCCATCTTGCTATGGCCCCCAGTGCGCATTGGGTCAGCGGTTCAGTTGCCGCTCGTGGCCCTGGCTTGGCGGGGCAAGCTCCCTGCCGCGGATGATGTCACGGTGAGTTTCCCTTGGGCCCAGGGGCGGGAGCGGTTCGCCCCTCGTTTCATCGGGAATCCTGCTCGCGACAGGCGCTGGGGCGGCGTCGCGGGGCGGCCGCGCCTGTGGCGGGCTCTGAGGGGGGACGCTGTCTTCCGAGGAGGCGCCCATGTCTCCCCCGAGTCCCAAGGGGGCCGCGGTCGTCGTCGGTCGATGCGTTGCCGGGCCCGTCGAGAGACGATGGCCCTAAGGGTATCCCGGGCTGAATCACTACACACACGATTATGCAACATCAACAACTACATGCAGACGCACCACTATGCATATCATTACGTACGATATCAAGAATTGAACATGCGTGGAAACATCTATGCGTGTTGAATATACACTATACATGTTTGTTATATACAGACGTGCTGGTTTTGTTCCCCCTCCTTCCTCTGCCTTTTGTTGAACCTTCACCAAGCAGCCTGGGCGCGATGCAGCCGCAGCAGCAGAACCAGCAGCAGCAGGGAGTCAGCTCGGCGTCGACAGCTGCCCCAACGCCGACGACAAATCTCGACCAGCTGGTAGAGATCCCTTTCGTCCAGCCGCTGAAGCACGGGCACATGTATATCAACCGCGTGCAGCTCAGCAACGATTGCTGGCGCGGTTTCCTCGGGCTACCGTTGTACACATATGCATACACGTCTGATATGATATACATATAAACATACATACACATACATACATACATACATACAGACAGACAGACAGACACACAGACAGACAGACAGACATACATGCATGCATGCATGCATGTACGCATGCATGTATGCATGGATACGTACGTACGTACGTACGTACATACCTACACACATGCATACCGACATACGTACATACATACAGGCATACGTACATACATACACTCATACAAACATACACATACATACAGACATACATGCATGCATGCAAACATACACATACATACATACATACATACATACATACATACCTACATACATACATACATGCATGCATGCATGCATGCATGTATGCATGACTGTATGCATGAATGCATACATACGTCTATGCATTGTATTACCTAACGCACATCTTTACACATATCAACACACATAAAGTTATCTATCGAGGGAGTGGATCGATCGATCGATCGGTTCACTCCCTCGACCCCCTCCCCAGGCAGCTCGGCTGCGCGGCCAGGCTGCCGACATGGCGCAGGCCCCGAAGGTTGTAAGGATGAGATGGGGGGACGGGAAGATGAAGGGTAAGGAGGAGGCGGATGAGGCGGAGGAGAAGGAGGAAGAGGAGGAGGAGGGGGAAGAGGAGCGCCATCGATGCTGCAATAGACCCTCGACGGGACACGTACGGTGGCACGGTATATCCCGTGCCACCGTATGTGTCCAATCGCTGCCCAGGTGCTGGCTGCTGCTGGCGTCACGGCGGCGGACCTCAAGGACCTCGCCCTACTCCTCGTCCGCCTCCTCCTCGTCCGCATCCTCCCCATTCTTCTCCTCGAGATCCTCGCCCCATCTCCCTCGTCCTCCCTCCCTCCCTCCCTCCCACCCTCCCTCACTTCCTCCCTCCCTCCCTCACTCCTCCTGCTCCGCATTCTCTTCGCATCTTTGTGTGTGCGCATCCTACTCATCCACATCCTCCTCATCAATCTCAATTTCCCCATTCTCCTCCCGTGGCAGAGTCCACATGGCATGCCCGCGCCCGTTTCGGCACACCCCTCACACGTCTCGTGGCCCCATAGGGAACTCCACCGAAGGCCCCAGCG